AAGGGGGTTTTAAAGCAGATTGCTAGACGTTTTTTCCTTGAGTACCACTGAGCGGACCTGAACTACCACACTTTTGGTTAGTAGCCAAGTGTATTAACCACCATCACCAAGGAAGCTGGGAACAGAAATACTTGGCACTCAACTCTGGACTTCACCTTCCTCGCCTGCCACAAGGAATGATGGTAGTAGAGTCAATTCCCAAAGGCATCTGCCACATCAAGACAAGGACTTCAGCAAAGTCCTCAAAGCAGGGGATCACAGCCAGGGATCAAGGCCAATGTCCCACTTCCCCGGAAAGAAATCAGTGCACCTATCATTTCTAAAAGCCACCACACTAAACAAAATAGAACAATAAAGGCCCCGAGGTTTATGGGAAACACAGGTCTGGTGTCTGGAGCACACCCAGAACAGTTCATCAAGGAGACTTTAAAGGAGAGATAGGGGAACTTAATAAAAGTGACAGCACAGCTTCGTTCATGTTGAATGGTGGCTCGCTCACTGCTGTCGAGTTAGAACCAACTCATAGCTGACCCCCAAGCAGATTTCGGAAGGTTTCATTGCACAGAAGAAGACTGTCCATCTTTCTCATGCAGGGGTACAGGTGGATTTGAACCACCAGAGAGGGATGGCTTTGGGGTTAGCAATGCAGTAGCCTACAGATGATGAGTGCACCAGAGCTCCTGCTGAATGGTAAAGAAATATAGTCTTTGTGAAAGCCGACTGTCACACTGGTTTTCCCTAAAGGAGCCAGTGGGTTCAAATCACCCATATTTCGATGAACAGCCAAGCACTTTAGACGCTGAGCCACCAGGGTTCCTGAGTAGGGGGAGAGACACTTGAAATTGGAGGTAGGTGGGCACAGCTCATGCTACACGCAGCACACTAAGGTGAATGTTTGAGGTGTGTGGTACGTGGTTTTCTCGCTCTAAGGTTCAGTGCTGCCTGAGACAGAAGTGTTTCTCATGAGCAAAACAGAACATAATCAAAAGCAAACTTCTCATTATGTTCAAATTGTTCCCTAATATATCATCCATATTGGAACAAATTTGCATTTTTAAACCCAGCGTTATAGCAGAGCTGACAGCACTTAATTGACACGACTGTTACAAGGATTGAATGAGAGTGCTTAGCACAGTGCCAGGCACACGATAAACACTCAGTAAATTACATGATCATTGCTTTTGGGTCTTTGTCTGTTATTTTAATTGTATATTGATTTGCTTACAAAGTTCATATACATTGTGCTTCACGCTATTCTTATGCATATTATGTTTTATACAATCATCCCCATGCTCTGTTTTATAAAATGAATCACCATCAGGCTTGTCCATTATTACTCTGTCTTTTCACCCAGATCCTTCACCCTCTTCCTCCACTCACCAAACTGTACAAGCCTGTGGTTTCAACTCTACCCAGTGAACTAAATCGGTCTCATAAGGACAAATACTGATCAGATCATTATTCTAAAAATAGAATGATAACTAGTTAACATGTTTGGGAACCCAAGAGGGGAAGGTGTGGGAGTGGAGGAGTGAAATAATCATTGTTAATGCCTCCTCTGGTTTGGTGAAACATCACTGTGAAATCAGAGTGACAAATTGAGTGTCTGTTGACCTGGGTTAAGCCTTACAAACAAAAGACATCGCAACTGTTGTTGGCAGTGCCTGTGAGTAAGTTTCACTCATAGTGACCTTACGGACAGCAGAACTGAATCCTGGCTGATCCTGCGCCATCCTCACAACCAGTGCTGTGCTTAAGCTCATCGTTGTGGCCTCTGTGCCAATCCATGCCATGTGGGCTGCCTCTTGCTTACTAACTCACTACTTTTCCGAGTATGATGTCTTTCTCCAGAGCCTGGTCAACAGTCTCCACCCAGCTGGACATGGCTTTAGAAAAGTCCTCACAGCAGGTGGGTACTACTGTGGCCAAACTCACACATCCACTTTCTAGATAAAGAAATGGGTACCATCCTCCACCGACTGTACCAGGAAGCACCAGGGAAAGGAACACACACCTGCATTGCAGACAACATGAGCTAATCACAGGACAAACCTAAACAGGATGCTGCCCCATCACTGTGGGAGGATGTCGTTGTGGTTTGGTGCCATTGAGTTAACCTCTACTCAAGCATCACCTAGTACTAAAGATCTGAACATTGCCTTATCCTGTACCAGCCTCACCAGCTCTGCCATGCTCGAGGCCTCTGTTACACTCATGGTGTCAATTCATCTTACTGAGGGGAGGATATCACAAGAGGGGAATGAAGTCAATGGGTTCATGTGTTGGAAAACACACTTTTTTTTAAGTCCTACATTAGAATATCTTCAATTTCCCTTCCTTCTGCAGACAACACAGAGGTTAAAAGGAAAGTTCTGGCTAGATGGATATTGTCTGATAACATTGAATCAGCTCTGATTGACAGGACCCTTTCTACAGAACAAACCCTGCCTGATTCTGTGCCATCCACACAATCTCTGCTGTGCCTAGGCGCATTGTGACAGCCGCTGTGTCTGTCTACCGCATTCCTCACACTACACGTGGGAGCCTCAGTACTTTAACGAACCAACCTCACTGAGCCTAAGTTTCTCCATCTGTAAAATGGGGATAATACCTGTAGAATGCTGTGCATGCAAAGTACTAGATACAGAAGACACTCAGTGAAGTGCTACATCATTCATACATGCACTTAAGCGATACTAGCCAAGTGGCAATTTCCTACTAGCCTTTATGCCAAGTCTTAGTGTCCAAAAGAGGATTGAGCAAGGCGCTATTCACAACAAAAACAAAGGGAAAACTTTTTCAATGACCCAGAAGACTGCTGTGAGAATTATTTTCCGTTTATAATTCCTTCCACTGGCCTAGGTCCCCCCTATATGTTGAATACTTGTGACAGTCAAGAATCAAATATCTATTTGTTTAATCAAGCAAAATGAATTAAGACTTCTGGAGACTCACGTATGCAAAGGTACATTTAGGAAGCCTGAGTGCTGATACAGTATGTAGTTTCTCAAACACTTTTGGACCACTGAACACTTCTCATAGAACATATGACCTCATTTAATCCTCGCCTATGTAATTTTCCTCACTTAACAGATTGGGAAACAGAGATTCAGGGAATTACTATCTCCAAATCCACTTCACTTCTATGTCCTAAGACATAGGCTTTGATCTGCATCCAAAATCTTTCCTTCACCAATCTCACTACTCAAACCTATTAACCACCGAGGCAAGGGGGACAAATTTCAGGACACAAGTAGACTGGACTGGTACAGTAGAAAATGGATGGGAAGAGTCACTGGTCATAAATACATTAGAATGCAGTATATTAACATAACCAAAGCATGCTAGGAGGGCTCTCAGATATATCAGAAACTGGATCTTATTAAAATATAGCATTCAGCTAGACAGGAATAGGAATTTCTTGATAGAGAAAAAAAAATCTCCTGTGGGCAAATAAATTTAGGAAACACTGAGTTAAACAAAGCTAATCAAGTATCTCTGTTTAATCATGTCAAACAAAACTAATTAAGACTTCAGAAAACTCACCTATGTTAAGGTACATTCGTAAAGTCCAAGAGAGGATATAATAATACGTAGTTCTTCAAATGTTTTTGGACCACTAACCACTTCTCCTCCCAGAGAATGCCTGGGAACATCCCACAGAATACAGTTTGAGAGAGGCTGTGTTTGAGGTTCTCAGAACAGCTGGCTTACAATTTACCATAAGCCTTTAATTATTTTTCTTTTTTTGTTCCCACAGCAAGCCCTTGTGTCTTGTTCAATATGAAACAGCTAACATTTACTGCCCACTTACTACGTGGCAAACACTGACTCGGGCACTGGAGATTCCAAAAGTTGGCACTGGATGCAGTGACAGTAAATCTAATCAAGTAAGAGAAAGCATAAAGCTAACAGGGTGGCCGTGGACAACCACCCATTCTTGCACTTAGCGCTAGTAGGGGATTCAGGGCTGACGGAGAATACTTCAAAGTCTTTTCCTGGAGAAACCTTAAAGAAGCCCCCAGAGAATGGACAGTAACAATTAAGTGGAGAGAAATCTTTTGTAGGAACATTTCACTCTAACTGGCTGGTGGTCAGATCGGTACCCTTGAGGAATACACTCTCGGGGTGGCGTGCAGCACTCCTGGAAGCCTGGAGCTTAAATGCCAGCTCTGCTATTCATCACATAACCTTGGGTAAGTTCCTCTGAGAGTCATCTGTAAAGCTGATTATGATAGCGATATCAGAGTTATCAAAGGAAGCAAGTGCCTCTGAAATATCTGCCGATCTGCCTGCACCATGCTCAGGGCACGTGTGTTTTTGGTCCTTGATTGGTGGCGGTTCAGTGTGCCGTGTTAAGAAAGAGCTGAAGTCTGCATCTGGACTCGGAGGTAAAAAGGGGGGACGATAACTGATAAGCATCATTCGCCATGGGTTTGATGAATCTCTGGAGAATAGAATGCCTTAGGTGATGGGCTGCTAATCAAAAAAGTTATTGGTTCAAATCCACCAGCTGCTCCAAGAAAGATGGATGAACGAACAGTCTTCTCCCAGAAAGATTGAGAGCCTTGAAAACTTGATGGAGAGCCATTAAGAGTTGGAATTGACTCATCAGCAATGGGCTTCATTTGGATCATGGGTTTAAGAAAGTAGAGTAGGTGCTGGCTGATAGGAGCATGATGCTCCAAACACAATGGCTTCTGAAGGTTCTTTCCTTGGAAAATAACTTCCAGCAGCTCAAAGAACCCTCGAAAAGTAAATAATCCCACAAAGAGGGGCTCTCCCAACTGAGTCTTCTCAGCGTCTTACACTATATTCTCTTCTTCACTTTCACGAAATGAGCAAGGCTTTTCCCCTGTGCTTGGCAGCGGGATGTCATATGGTGAAACTAGTAGAGTATCTGCACTCAACCTGGGATAGTCCCTCCTGCCTTCAAGGACCACGCGCGTAGCCACATAATTAGTGCTTGTCTCACTCTGAAGGGCTCAACGGGATTCTACAGGCCCTTCCAGCGGGTGCTCAGAAACCCAGGCACAGTCCCACCACCAGGAATCACAGCGACAGAAGGAAAAGAGGCAAAGTTCTTAAAATGAAGCTTATATAAATATACAAATTCGTAAATATAAATTCTAAAGAGAAGCTCACAGATTACCAATAATGGGAAGGGGCCTTAGGTTATAATTATTATCAATCATCCTTTTTATCTTGGAATTTCTATGTGACTGCAGTTATATAAAGGGAAGTCATAAAAAGTGGAGAGAGTGTTTATGTGATTGCTTCAGAGAATGTGGTAGAGGAGAAATGAGAATTTCAGAAATGAGACAGTCTTAGGGTATCAGGTCACATCCCTTACATTTTATAGGTTCGTTCAATTGACAGATGTTCACTGTACATCCCTGGGGCTATGCTGGGCATGAGGTAGTGGTGAATGAGCAGGACACGGATCTTGCACCTTAAAAATTTACAGAAGAGCAGCAGGAAGGATGAAAGTAATGAGAAAGCATTTAGTGATCAGTGCCATAATGTTGGGAAGGCTACACTGAGGCTCAAAGGAGAAATGCAGACCCAGCTGGACAATTCTGGAGCTGAAACCAGCCTCCGGATCATCTGCGCCTAATATGTTGCTTTTCCCACTGGCAGGGGGTGTTGGGAACAAAATCCAGGCACTTGGCGGTCAAAGCTCAGCAGCTTTCCTAGAGGCAGAGGGCTATGAACTTGGGGGTTTAAGGGGCTACTCAGGACCCATTCATCTCAACCGTGGAGAACAGCTTCAGCCGCCCGAGGACGGGGTCCTGAATGCTATAGCCTTCAACAATCAGGAGGACAGGACAGAAGCCTCCCAGAGAGGATTAGGAAGGGCAGTGAATGGGTGGCAGAGCCTCACCACTCCGGCTGAGCTCTAATCTACGTGCTGTACTTTGCTTTGGAATTAATCAAACAAATCCCCTGATAAATCTGAGGCTGTTATTAGACAACACTAATATCCCCCTTAGAGTAATCTCAACAAATACATGGAGAGAAGGCGGAGTCCCAGGCGACCAGAACACAGACACTTTCATGTTCACAGGCATCTGCACAAGAACTCTCGCACAGCGACCCCCACCCAATGCACACCCAGATGTCTGTTCCCAGCAGCACCATCGCCTTCTGCCCTGATTGCTTTAGACAAGGGTGGACTGAAGGAGGGAGAACAGGGCCTGGGTTTCCTCCCCTCCCCAACTCTTCCACTGACCTAATTTTCCACAAGAGAGATTTTTTTTTCCTTGTGGTCCTGCTTGTTTGTGAATCATGCCACCCCACTGCACAGACAGCTTAAGGCGAGCCTCACTAGGATGCAGAGAAGCCAAGAGACTTCCAACCGTGGGCCCACTGCAGCTCTCAGGGAAGCAGGGTGGACTGCCAGGCTCAGAAGAGGGGTTGGGAGGTGGAGGCCAGGAGGAGGAAGGTGCGCCATCAAGGTGACGTCTATTTTATATACTCTGTTGTCAGCTGCCTTCAATGTGACCCCCAACTCTCATGACCGCCCTATGCACAACAGAATGAAGTGCTTCCCAGCCTAGTGGCATCACCAGGATTAGTTACAGATCAAAGAAGTAGATTTGCAGAAGTAGATTACAAAGCCTTTCCTCCTAATCGGTCTTCCTCTGGAAGCTTTCGAAAGCCTGCTCAGCATCGGAGCGCATGCAAGCCTCCAATGACATACAGGATGGTGGCCGCACCTCAGTTGCCTTGACTCAGAATGGAATCTGGGTCTGTCACAGAAAAGCAAGAATTCTTCCCTTAAACCATCACCATTTCCTTTGGACCCCCTTACTTTGCCCTCAAATGAACTCAGAACTCCCAGCTGTCAAGTCAGACCTAACGCGTAACTGACCCTCCAGTGCATTTTTAGAGTCTGTAAATCACACAAGGATACTGACTATCTTTCTCCAGTGGTGCTGCTAGTAGATTGGAACCAACAGAAAATACAACATTTGGCTTAGCAAAGCAGCTTCCTCTAGGCTATCCCAGCAGAGCTCCCTCAAAGGAATAGGAACTCAAAATAACTCATTGCCATTATGTCAGAACTGACTCATAGTTGACCTGTCATTGGGTTTCTAAGGCTTGAACTCATACAAGAGGATCCTACCCATCTTCCTCCTGCATAGTTGCTGGATTTGAACCACCAGGAGGGTGAACCTTTGAGTTCACAATTCCTTAAAGCCTATTATGCCACTTGTTTCTGGGGTGGTTTTTCATTTTGTTTTGTTTTGTTTTGTTTTGGTTTATTCTTATGTGCCTTCGGGTCAACTCCAACTCATAGCCACCCTATGTAGAACAGCTGAGTCCTGCTCTATCCTAAGCTAACTTCATCATCTCTGACGCACCTACCTCCATTACTCTAATCACTGAGTCAGTCCATCTCATGCAGGGTCTTCCTCTCTTGTGCTGTTCCTCCACACGTCCAAGCATGATGTCCTTCTCCAAGAACTGATACCTCCTTGCAACATGCCCAAAGTGTGTCAGATGGAGTTCCCAAATCCTTGCCTCCAAGGAATAGCCTGGTTTCATCCTTTACAGGACAGATCTGTTTGTTCTCTTAGCATTTTCTAAAAAGATCCACTTGACCTTTTCATTAACTTTATATATGACCTTTGGTAGGTTTCTTAAACTTTTGAGTCACTGTTTTCTTAAAAAAAAAAAAAGCCGGGTATTTTGGCCATTCATTACATTCTGCTTTTCAAGTCCATTTTAGAGTCACTGAAAAACTGTCTGAAAAGGTCCTGACTTTAGTTGCAGGAAGAAGATTTGGTTCCTTCAAACTATAAAAACTGACCTGGAAAAAATTAAACTTGTCAGGAAAAAAAAGTCAACAGAAAATGAAACTGACAGCAGCTAAAAATGCACTTGGTAAAACTTGTTACTTATGGAAAAATTGAGGAGTGAATCAAACATTCTTCACAAAATTTACACCTGCAAACATGACAGGAGAAAATTAGACGTGGTAGAAATCATGACCAAAAGCCAGCCTTCACAATGGAGGGAACTCTGCAGATAAAAGCTGATAGGCTTATGCAAACATCACAACAGAAAAAATGATCGATGAGTCAAATCTTCATTGTAAAACACACATGGAGCAAAACTGATCTTTTTCAAAAATAATTCAGTGAGATGAAACGAACTGGAAAAATTAAGAAGGGGTTTAACTTTGTTGAAGAGAAAATGGATCAAGAAATTTATCTGAGCTCCACACGGCTTGGTTCTAAAAAGCTCACTCATGCATTGTCATAGAATCAGAAGCAACTCATAGCTGACCCTCCAGTGGGTTTTCAGAGGCTATAAATGCCACGGCATGAGATTACCCATCTTTCTCTGATGGAGCAGCTGGTAGATGTGAACTGTCTGCCACTGGGTTGGCAGTAAAATTCCTAACCAAAGCCACCAGAGTTCTCTCTTCTAAAAAGCAGATTCTTGATGAAAATGCTTCAGTGTTTATCTAATTCTGATTACACCAATGTAGAGTTAAAAGATCTCAGGGTCAAAACTTGAGAAATGTTTGATAAAAAAAATCAGGGTGATAAATTTTATGATCTCAGAGGTCTCCTTTAGTTACACATTTTTCTGATAAAAGGTCAGAATAGAAAACGAACAAAATTATACAAATACTTCTTTCCAGCTATAAGCTGCAAAAATGGCTTTCAGACTAATAGACCTTTTGAGGCTGTAACATATCCACAGAAATTTAAAGTAATTTTGGAGCTAATATTGGGTAATAGGAGTTTGATAGCACAACAGCAAAGGGTTTGGCTGTTAATCAAAAGGTCACTAGTTCGAACCCAGCAGTAACTCTGCAGGAGAAGATGTGGCAATCTGTTTCTGTAAAGAGCAGGGAAACCCACAGGGAAGTTCTACTCTGTCCTCTGGGGCTGCTGTGGGTCAGACTCAACAGGATGGCAGTGAGTTGGCTTAATACCAGGCAGCTATATTTTTATTTTGCCAAGAAGTGACTGACATTTTGTATTGCTACATTTTCCTAAAAAGAAGTCTATTTAATGACCCGAAAGTAAACAGGCTCAATCTAAGAATATTGCAAAATAATAAATGAATGTGACTTTGCACAGTGTATTACATGATGTTTATTTTTCTTGTTTTCCTTAAGGATGGTAAGACCTTGCTTGTTCCAACCCTTCCTGTCTGATTTACGACTAGATTGAGGTCAGATTGTAGAGGTCCTCTGTGCTCAGTTTTCTCATATGTAAAATGGGTAGAAAGGTAAAGCGATTCGCTATTTCAGACACATTTTAAATGCTAACCTTAAGGTAAGAGGAAAATATAGCCCATTTGGATTCAGGCTGCATTCTCAGCTCCAATTCTACCCCTATTGCTCCAAGTTGGAAGTTCCTTAGATGTTCCCCAAAATAACTGCCACTGATAACAATAGCTAAGGAGTGAGAATTGATCCGGGCATCCCTCCACCTCTTCACTAACTAAGAAAACATGATGTGGCAGGTGGGGTGGAGTCGGGGGCAGGACAAAAACTGTAAGCACTAGGACGAAAGGGCAGCTATTTGGAAAAGCTCAAGCTGATCTCTGGGCTGTGGGTGGGAGTCACGCTGTGCAGTTATTTGAGGAAAGTGCTTCTTCAGGCTGGTGGCAAATGACATTCACTGAAGCGTTCTCTGTCCCCGCTGTCCTTCACCTCTACCTCCTCCACAAGATAGCCTCCCTCTGAAGAGATTCTACCCCAAATCCTCACCTCCAGGATTCTGAAATCAGAGGGAGATGTACGATTGCGGACTCATCACACAAGAGCTGATGTCCTCACCCTATTCCACTGTCGGCTCGTCTCTGTTCCTTGCTCCAGACAGTGCTTCCTTACTTCATCCGTCCTCCCACCATCTATCCGTTGAAACACTAAAAAGTAAAAGCCATAGTTCCTGCCAATGAGTATGTTGAACTAACCAACATTATTCTCGAGCCAGGAAAATCGCTATGAACATACATGCCATCCCTTTCCTGTATTTCCTCCTTCCTTCCC